TGAAAGTGAAGAATCGGTATTGTGTGCAAGTCCTCACGTATGACAGCAAGTTAGGATCTTACCTGACCATGTTAGGGGTAAGTGAGTTGGAAGGGACGATAGTCCTGGACATAAAGACTCTTAGGTGGCGTCAGAACAAGTAGTGCAGTCTGATAGCTATTCACATTCTGGGCACAGAGAGAATGTGATAGGAGGTGTTCTGTCCAAGGGAAAAAACCTACAGGAGGAAGCAATGTTGAACAAAATATTTCACAGGTTGTGTCAGCTCGGGGTGGGGAGGGGGGCATCTCCCAGCCTCCATCAATTTCCCAGCAGAGGCCATCACCAGCTCTGAGAACTTTGAAAATAAATATTTCTCCACAATCTTCTTTTTCTATTAACTCATTAAGCTGATGTACTCATAAAAGAACCCATCATCCCCAATGACATGGAAAGCATTGGTGATGATGTCAGACAGCAGAAATTTGCGTGATGAACTTTCTGTACTTATCAGTCTAGACTGATTCTCACTCAGTTAAACAGAACGGATTTTAATTATCCTACAGACTCAAGCAAGACTATGGCAAGAGAATCTTGGTAAAATATTCTGATAATTTGTGCTCTGCTGTAGATGGATAATGCAGGATATTTGATTTCAGGGATCATTCCTGTTTAGAAACTGAGAATATAATTTAGAATAATTTAGAAATTGAGAATATAAATTCCCAAGTTACTACAGACTCGTCCTGTGAATGTGTTCAGTGGACAAACTCAAGAGTTAACAGTATTCATAGAGATTCTGTAACACTGATACAATTTTTATTCCAAAGACTGTTGCATGCAGAACTGCATCAGTGATGCATATGTGCTTTTGTTGTGATGATGAAGAAAGAAGTATACTGTTTTTAAGCTGTATTTAATATCTTTTTTTCCTGAAGATACATTCCAATCCTTTTATGTTATTAATCTATATCTTAGATTAAAATAGTGCTGTTCTACAGAGAAGCCTGGTGAGCAATACAGATCCTAGAGGAGTCTCTGATACCAACACTGAAGAATTTTCTTCTACCCTTCCTCCAAGGAGGTGCCTCCATTTTTTGTCTGTTCTCAGGATACCTGCTACTGTTAACAAGGCAACAGCACGTGCAGAAATGCCCCCTCTATGGGATGCAGGTGTGAACGGCAAGCAAACATCTTGAAAGAAAGATGAAACCCACATTTATAAAGCAATAAATGAACAACAAAGCTACAAAATTTGGAGGTACTTAATCCCTTGGATATTTTGGACAATGACATGACAATGTAGATTTATGATAAAGCAAGAAAACACAGACAGCAAAAACCAGAATAAAAAGGAAGGAAAAATTCCTGGGAAAACCTAACACGGTGATTTGTGAGTAACTACAAAAAAGTCCATAACTCTATATTGTTTTACTAATTATAAGGTAAACACATTCAGGATTCGCTAAGTTTAAAATGCACATCTTGCTGTTTTACTTCTTCCTTGTAGATATCATTTATGATTTACAATATCATTTTCAGCTTTGGATGTCTTGTCAATAAATACAGATTATTGCTGTTAGACTTAAATCATAAAAAACAAAAATATTATTTTGTTATTTAAATATAAAATGTGAATAATATATGCTACTTCTGGTGGAACACAAAGGTAACTTGACAGATGTATTCAAAACTATTAATTCTGGTAAGACTTCTAAGTAGGGTGATCTCAAACTGTCCAAACCAGTGATGGGGTTTAAAGTCTCAGCAAGAGAAGTGAAAAAAGAGAGGTAAACAAAAAAAAAATCTATCTAAAACCATTCTGTTGAAAGAGTAGCAGGCATATGGAACAAGCTGCTTAGTAAGACAGCAGATAACATAAGTAAGCTTAAGAGGCAGATATTTTTATGCAGAAAGTGGCTTGGAATTCACAGAAAGAGGATATATGCCTGAGATAACTAAAAAGGGACATGCTTATTTTAACACAAGATTTACTGTCCTGATTACTCTTATTGAGTTGGGGTTTTTTTCCCCTTTCTTTCCATTAAGGCCAAATGATGAGCTTTTATAAGCATTTCATGATGATATCTAACATGCGTTATCTTTCCCACTTGTGTGAATGTTTACAGTCACCACCGGACAAAACTCGCTATCTAGAGATCTTTTCCTTGAAATTAAATGTATTAATAGTAAATTTACTGAGGCTTTACCATCCACTGTTTTCACTATTTTAATGCAAGTTGTAAGCTTGATTGTCTCCCACCCCATGCTGAAATTGGAAGATGCTTTGTCTACAAAAATTTTTTTCATGAAATTTCCTACTTCTCTATTACCAATAGAAACACAATTGCTGAGTAGTGCTACTGACACATTTCCTGTCTCTATATGACCATTTCATTTTCAAGCTGTCTAGGCTAGAGTTGCTCAAAACTGTAGTCAAACTACCGATACTGCTAGCATTCTTATTACTGCCATGTGTAGAATTGGACCCGCGACAATCGTGTTTGAAATTACATACAGAGGATGTCAGACTCAAACTTAATTCATTTTTAAATTAGGAATCTCAAGTCAAGAGCCTGAATTCATAGTTAATCCTGATCATTTTACAAAAGTGCCAAAAGATCTAATAATTAGTACTGTTTTAAAAGCAGAAGTTAAACTATTTTAAAGGTCTTTAAACAACAGTAATCAAACTTGAAACTTGGCTACAAAATAGTGAATTCCCATCCCTGTGCACAACCCAGAATGATGACAGAACCACAGCTTCTGATACTGCTTCAGGTGCTGCTGTAGACAATTGTTTCTAGCAAGCTGTCCATCTCCTTTTCCTGGAAAACTATTTTTCTCTAAAGAAAATGCAATCCTTTTTCTATCCTAATCACATATATCATATTTCTCACCCTATTTCAACTTGGCTTATGACTAGAGAAAGCAATTTTGTTTATCTTCTTTCAAGAGAGAAAAGTTACTTTGGGCTAAGAGCCCTAATCATACTAAGCTCAATAACAAGCGATCATTGATTTCATTGGGAACACCACATTGCACCACATTTGTCACTGCAGTGATCTGTAACCCCATAAGGTGCTCGCTGCAGGTTCAGTTTTCACAATACGTCAATGATTTTATTACAGAACACTTGAGATGGAAGAGTTTGTAAAAGTAAACAAATGGATATTATCACCATTTGTAATTATTTGGGGGAAAAAAGAAAAGAAAAAGAAAAAAAATGCATTTATCTCTCTATCCTCATTTTTTTTTTTCTCAGTCAAGAAAATTTACATAAACACCTGCTGCTGCAGTTCAGTGGCTGGCAGTACTTAACATTCACAGTTCAATATGTTTAATAAGAATGTAAGGAATTCATATGAGCCACTGGATTAAGTTGTTTATTGATGAATAGGGCCCCTCATTTAGATATAAAGACAAGTGCAAACCTCAGTATAACTCTTTGCATTGCAGTGAAAATAAACAACAGTAATGGTTGGCTTAATCTTCTTACTAGAGGTTTTTTTTTTATTTTGACCAGTATGGGACTTGATGCTGCTGGCCGAACTGCAGTATTAGGAACTCTGACCGTACAGCCTTTTTCTGAAAATCTACACCTTTTTAATTTGAGCAGTAAATAGGTTTCCTAATGAAACTTTTAATTTTTTCGAACTCTTTCATGGCTATACTTGATAAATAGAAATCCAGAGATTTTGTCTCTTTTTTACACAAAACTGAGAAAATCAGATGCACACTCAAACAACTTCTTAAAAAAAAAAAAAAAGTCCAGTACCGCATCTTTATACAGATCAATGTCCAATTATAAGCAGAGAGTTGCTGTGGCAAAAGGTCAGGAAAAAATAATCTTTCTGGCATTTATAACTTGGAAAATAAGGTCATCTATGAGGTCAAGCTTCAGATATACACAGAATAAATTATACTGCAGCATTCTAAATATTCTACACAGCAAAAATTATATTGCAGTCTCAACATAATCATAAAAATGAAGTTGAACATGTATTTCCTGATGACTGTACAGTTCAGACTAGGCTAGGAGACAAAAAACCTAGGTCCGATTAATCAACAATTAATAAAAAGTTTATAATCTATTTCTGCTTAATTATAAAAATAGCTTCTTATTAGGGTTAACTTATTTAATAATCTTTTAAATGTATTTAATACCAAATAATCTTCTCCATAACAAATTAAAATAATAGCAAACATACAAAACATTTAAAAATAATTCAGTGGTGCACTTCCTTATTGCCTACAGCCTAGAAGCAAAGCACAAACACACACACTGCTGGAGTACTCTGTCTGTCTGATGCTTTTTAAAAAAAATAAGTGTCTCTTTTGAAATAAAAGACCTCATAATTA